TGTGTGTGTATATATATATATATATATATATATATATATAGTAAATGGAATTAGAAATGTTTCTTTGCTTTTATATAGAGGTATATCTTGCTCTTGCATTGGGTAGAAAATAGAAATTAGAAATTATTTATGTTGTATTAAATGTATAATTATATATATAAAATTTGAAAAATGTGTTAAATATTATATAAAAAAACATATATATAATTTTTAATGATGGTGTAAAAAGCTATTATTTGATTTCAGAGACAAGTTATCTTTATATTATCATTCTTATAATATTACATATTTTAGTAACGAAGTTCTTTGTTGAGATTAGATCATCATTTCAGGAGTCCTTGCTATCAGAAAGTCTGAAAGTCCTTATTTAAACAACTTGCTTGACTGTGTGCTTGATTGTATGCTTTTTTAGTAATTTTGTAGCTGCAATAGCCAAAGCATTTCATTAGAAGCAGGTGTTCATATACTTTTGGCCATGTTCTGTGTGCTGATTTTATTTTCAGATTATCAGTGTGCTATCGATCCTGAATGACATCTTCAGTAAGACAAACTAATGATTGCAGTGGAAAATTCAGCAGTGAAAAGGACTGCACATCCACAGAAAAAAGCTAAGTGCATGTATGTTTGCATATGCAGCTACAAATATAAATGCCAAGTCAGGAAAACTTGTTTTCATTTAGGGAGACTTTTGGGTTTTCCTGTTTTCCACTGCCCATTGACAGGAATACTCATGTTTCACACATCGTCATGTAGTGCCTGTCTGGCTGCAGTTATCAGCAGGCGAACAGCATGACCCGAGTCAAAGCCATTTTACCAGAAGCCATTATGCAGGGGTGACGTGACAGCATGCACAGACTCCAGACTCCTCAGACCTCCATTATAGCCTCTAAACACCCTCATGTTTACTACCCCTGTTAGAATATATTAGTATTTGATTATAGAATATTCTGGCGGCCAGCTACTATAATTTGTAGTAGTTATAAAATTCTCAAGAATGTGTTAAAATCAGCTTGTGAAGTTACATTAGATGTGCAGTAAAGCTATTTTAGTTTCAAAACGTTGTAAATCTAAAAAGCCTATTAGGTTGATATTGCTTGATTATAATTCATTATGTTAGTTACCTGTCTTCCATTGACCAGGCAAACAGATCTCACACCATTGATTGCAATGTTTTTCTGCAGAATCGACATGTGAATAATTATTATTATTTTCTTCAAATTAAATTGGGAAACGAGTCAATATTTTAGGGCAAATGAAAATTGCACACATCACATTTATAGATCTACAAAAACATTCACCTTGACATTGTAGAGGGGTTATTTCTCTTAAGAATGCTGTTTGAAGATGCCGTTCAGGATGACTGAATTAAATTTACAGTTACTTTTTTTTTCTAGTCACATTTTTAATACCTTACAATGACCTTGGTTTAGTCATTTAAATAACCACTTCAAATTTGTTGCCTACCAAGACCACTACTGTATGTGTAAGATATAAGATGGCTTGCCTCTAAGGCTGCCTGCTTCCTTTAATGTTTTCCTGACACGGTGTGGCTGAGGTCCTGTAAGGATGAGAGACACAGAAGCAGAGGTGTGGGATAATAACTATACACATACAGTAATGTATACACACACTCTCACTGGGTCGTCCTCACTGAACACGCTCAAAAAACTGTAGGCAAGATAATCAGGGTAATGTAGCCACCATTATAAATAAAACACAATCACACTTATGGCACAAAATCACAGTGAAGGTGTGAAAAGAGACATATCATGTTGTCATCCATGTCACAGTGATTACAAAAACACTTCGGCTGAGTGAAAATGAAACCGCAAACATTAACATTTTGCAAAAAAAATAAACAGGTACAAGGGGCAGGATACATATATAGTGTGTATGTGTTACATACGTCACTGTATTGTGGTCTCTTTTTTTAGAGCATTTACTGGTTCATAGCAAATTGAATTGTCACACTCTCTTTTTTTCTCACGTCTGCTTCTGGCTGCATTGAAATTCAAGCCTCATAACGTAATTGTGACATCTCCTTTACATAGAAATGCTAATGCAATACTGATGAATTCAGTGACATTTGTTTGATTAACTTTTTAACCTATTTTATGGAAATTCAGTATTGCCCTCTAAGCTCTCACACTCAAAACTGACACCATTTTACATTTTTGGGTGCTTGAGTGTGACGTGTAAACTCACAGGAAAGGAAAATTACAAATGAGATTTCTTTAATATCTCTAGACAGCAATAAGAATAAAATGAGAGCAAATGGAAACTTTTGCTTATGTTTTCTGCTTCTCATTTATTTCTGATTAGAGGAAGACCCTATAATCTCACATGAGACCCCTCTAGATTTCTCAGATGTGTCTCAAGCTGATCAGATTTGCCAACAAACCAAAATTTGCAAAAAAGACCAATAATCTAACATGCTATATAACCCCAATAATTATGTGTAAAGTTGATATCTATAACAGATAATTCCAATAAATCTTCTGAGCTATAAAATATATCTGAACCATGGACAATTTTCTCTGGGCAATGCTGCTGAACCATTGAAATCAATATGAGATACAAAAAGCCATACAGATGAATGCTTAAGAAAAGATACAGTGAGCTCAAACTGAATAATTGTCTTTGTTTTAAACATATCTTGAGGACAAAGTGCAGAGAGTTCAGAGCACAAGTGCAGAAAGGTTTGTGCTGGTTTCAATCTTATCTATGATCTAGGAAATATGCCTGCTCTTTGTATAAATGCAGAAATCGTTTTCTTAATCTGGATTCTTTCTTTCTTTCTTTCTTTCTTTCTTTCTTTAAACATGCGCCTAATGCAGTAAATGTTATTTATTTTTTTTTATTTTTTTTTTTATAATAATTTCTTAAAACCTCAATGAATTTTGTTAGATTTATGCATGCAATATATTAATGCTATATATTAATAATTTGCCAATTGGGTACGAAAAATAATGGAAAAGAAGACTGAAAATTCTTATCAAGAAAATGTTTTTTTTATTTTGTGAATAAAAAAAAATCTAAATCCTAATCCTCTAAAGCCAAAACATATAGAGGAACATATAGGATTGGCTTTTTTATTTTGGGAATGTCATTGGTGGTAAAAATCGATTTCTTAATGTGCATGATAATATTCTGCATATTTGAAACATTAGCTCTGCAGTTTGTCATGGCTATGATATGCTGACTGGGGTTTTGCCAAGTAGGACATGCTCCTGAATGAAAAATAGATAGGTTGATCGTAATGTTACTCCATGACCAACAAGAAATATGAAAGAACATGGCCTACTTGGCAAAATCACAGAAAGCAGTATAATAGACAAATATTAGGTTTGGTTCTATTCATTACAGCTACCAATATTTTGTATGAGATTTGTTTCAATTTTAACAATGTTCTGAGGAACTCTGATGCAGTAGCTTGGAAAGTGAATACTGTTTGTGTCCCACTTATGTTGATCTAAGTTGTTCTTAGAATTATAGTGTTGCATAGACCAGTTATGTGACTGAGGCTCCAGAGCAAAAGGAGGACACTAGACTATTCCACATCTTAGAAACACAGGCATGAGGGGAATGATTCCCAAAAGAATCTCAGTCACACCACTGGGGAACACAGTGGTCTTTGAATCTTGTCTTGAAAGTGAGTGAAGCTTCACCCTTCACTTTCACTGCACAGTCCTCTGAGATCTACTCCTCTTTTCATGACCACAGCTTTCCAACAGTAAAGTGAACTCAAAAACTTTGTTACCAGCCATGAAGTATTTGTGTATTATACTGTATGTTCACACAAAGTGTTGATTTTTAATTATACATAATTTCCTTTTATCTGTGGCAGTGGCAGTTTAATCCTGATATGTCTTATATCTTTAAAAAATATTTATTGCCATCATCAATTCCCTTCAGAGATACATTCATATAAAACACCCGCGCCGTGTTATGATTTTGAAATGTTCAGTGCTCATGTTTATTCAACGAAGTCAAACAGCACAAATAAATCAATGTATGGGAAACTTTAAAAAATATTTATTGCCATCACAATATTCTTGCCATTCAATGTAATTGGTGGAAGTACATGTTCTCTTATGAATGTTTTATATTTTTGCAGACTGGTGGCTCTCAACTGGTGGGACTTCTGGTGCAAATTGGACAGAAAACATGAAAATGTTGCCTGACATCCCTTAATCCTAAAAAAACACTGATAATAGAAAAGACTAAAAGAAATACTAGTACTGTGCTGGTTCGTCGTGTACATTATAAAATGTGGGTTCTGAAGCAAAACCAGTTGAGAACCACTCTTATAGACCACCTGAAGACAAATGGTAAAGACTCTGTAAATGCAAGGCTGTGTTAAGACGAGCCAAAGCGCCAACTTCCTCCCCATGATTCCGCATTGCGTAGCCCATTTCTCCAGGCTTAGCTGTGCTTTGAGAGGGAAATTAAAGTATATATTCCTTCTCCTGAAAAGAACGCGAGAAATCTGCAACATAGAATACTTCATTAATATTCTACAGTTGAAATATTGTTTTGCTCAATGCATTTAATGAAAAAAAAAATCAAATCATTCTGCATGGCAAAGAGGTATTGCCATTCAATACCACACAGTTAATAAACAAAGTCACGCTTCAGTGCTTTCAAAGCATAGTTATCGATGTTAGAGCACAATTAATTGATTGAAGTGAATAATTTGAGGCTTATAGAAAGCAATATCGCAAAGTAGACGTCAACACATGGATGTTGGATATCATAGGGTGGAAGGGAGCAACTGGCACAAAGCTTATTGATGTCATGCTGGCTCAAATAAAATTATGGTTTAAAGTCTCTGAAATTATATACAGTGCACTTTTTGAATTAAAAAGTTCAGTGTATTTTTGCTCTGATAATTTCAGATTCTTGTTAACATTGTTGCAGCATGTGCATGATTTTTTTTGGGCCATTTTGCACTTAGAATCAAAATGGTGTTCATTCCCTTTATGTTATTGTATTTCAAACAGCACAAATAAATCAATGTATGGGAAACTGGTAATGTATATCGAAATATCGGAAATGTGTTTAAAAATCATATCACCGTTATTGAAAAAAATTATATCGCGATACATATTGATATTGAATTATTGTCCAGTCCTAATTTCTGATAAAATCACTGCAGCAAGCATTTTGATGATGCCATACTGTTTTATACCCCTCATAAAAGCCCATATGATATGAGGTCTGAATGTATGACATTTGTGATAAAACCTACATATTTTTTTAATATAATGGGAAAGAAGATTTCTTTGTCTCTTGAGCTTAATTTAGATTCATGTTGCATTTCATTGCACAGCAACATTTGGAACTACAATGTTGTATATATATTTGAAACATTATTATTATTATTATTTGTAATGCCTGGAATTACAAATATGTTATTTTGCAATGTGTATGTTTAATTTTGAGACCAACATAAACCATTATTTTATGCACAGGGAAATGAAAGACTAACACTCTTGTACATTCTGGTGACACAACACCTTTTTTTTATTTAATTTTTTTTAATATGCACTGTTAACTGTTGTGAACTACGCTCAAAACAGGAGATCATACTCTCTGCCAGTGGTTTAGATACATTCTGTCAAAACCAGTCTGACTTTCTTATTTTTGCCTATGAAGTAAATTTATCTTGTTTTATAGGTGTTTAGATATTACTAATGGAAAGCAAAAATGCTGATTAAGATTATATTTCTCTATATACTGCAAAAAAAAAAAAAAACACATTAATGTCACAGTTGTGCATTGTCTTATACAGTACAAGCGCTCCATATGAGATTTGGCTTTTTATGAAGATGATTGAAGTAAATGTAAAACCCGATCAGATGTCTGAAATCTGAAGCAATCACTTTTTTATTACCATAAAGCACTGTGCGATCGGCTTTCAAAGTGAACTTAGTCCCACAATTCACTTTGCCATTACGATAAAGTCAAAGGTGTAGCGTCGTGTCACACTGAATGGAATGCATGACAGTCTAGAGGAAGTGATGTTGTGTTCATGACAGATTACATGGTTCAGTAAATTTGCATGTCCGAATGAATGTTTGAGTTGAGAGTGACAGTTGCTCCCTGTTTGCATGCTGGAAAACATACAAGCGCACACACAAAAACTGGCATTTGCACTGAACTGCAGGCAGAGAGTCTTTACCAGGTGGTAAACAGTGGTCGTCACAGTATAATGTATGGGCTTTTTATTGGATGGCAACAGGATGACACATGGTGATGGACAGGATGGAAAAAGGAGGGAAACTTATTAGAAATAAGTAAATGTAAATGTGACACCTAATGTGGGGCGGTGCAGTCATGTAGTTAACTACATGACATGAAAGTCTAATATTTCCTTTCTGAAGTACTTTCAAAAATGGGTTAATGTGTTTGTGTTCTAGAGCTTGTGATGGAATGAATTGTAAATGAGATGTGATCTCAATGACAGTGATAGATGCATCTAACAATGACAGTTTTATTAAACAGTTGAAGGAGTTCAAAATTGTCATTATGAAACTACTGAATCACACTGAGGAACAAATGACTGCAACTTCAAGCAATTCAGGGCCAAAAACAGTCATTCTATCATCTTCCTGGCATCAACAATGGATTCTAATGTATCATCAGGTGGTAATACAAGGTAAAACCGTGTCCTACAAGGACTTTTCTCTGACTCCATGTGAATGCAGCGGTGGCTGATAGCAGCCCGGCCAACAGGACACCCTATCTATCCTTGTCACTGTCAATGCTATCAGGAACCAGTCAATATCCCTCCCTTCTGCTCTTAGAAGCCTCACAAGTTTGCCCTGTGGCACTGCTGATAAACTTCCAGCAAGAAAACAAGCTTGGTGCTTTATCACATCGTAAAGATTCGTCCACGCATCCAATTACTCCTCATCTGAGTCATGTTTTACTTTAAGCCGAGAGTTAATAAATAATATAAGGACCCCAATCAGGTAGCCTATGTAAAAATTGACTGCTGCGCCCAAGCTACAATCTCTTCAGGACAACTGTACCAAAATAACTCTCCATCGAAGCGATTTACACCAAGATAAGAGAGCTGGACCTACCTTCAAGATCCTTGCTGTCGAGCAGGTCAAACATAATGACGGCCACGGCCGACCAGGTTACAACGAGAGCCAGCACGAGGATCCAGGCCACAGGGGAGCTGAACGTGATGTGAAGGTCATCCGTTAAGGTGCGTTTGGATGAACGTGTGGGATGTGCGCTCACGTCATTCTTGGTCTCGACTATGGTAGTCATGGTGGTGGAGGACCGTGCTGTTAAGACAGATGGAGGTTTGGAAATGTATAAATGCAAACAAGACAGGTGTTAAACCACAAGAAACCATTCTACATGGTTTCAAGCTGGTTATTTATGCTAAATATCTGGTCAAGTTTCATTCAGTAGTAGTCACAGGTGGAGTTGACATCTTAGTTGTGTTAGAGCTTAGATGGTTAGAGTTTGAACCAATATCAAACCAGGTACAATGAACACTTAGAAATAGAAATTATGTCAGTTCCTCTATACGTTTTGACTTTATTTGATCAAAATATTCATCATACAAAGTGATTGTGTCACTTCAGAGGACCTACAATATACAACTCATGGATTAATTTCATACTATATTTGTTCTTCTTGGAGTTTGACAGTTTTGGGCCTGATTGGCTTTCATAATAGTGACAAAAACAGATGAAAATGTTAAAAATATCTATTTTGTGTTCCAGAAAAGAACGAAAATCATACAAGTGAGTAAATGAGGGTGAGTAAATGCTAAGAAATTTTTGTGTGAACTACTCAAATGATTCAGAGGATTGGCTACTATTAACTCCCTTATAAGGCATCTGCTGGTGATAGTTTACAAACAGTTTATTTTGTCTGCGTAGAGCATCTACAGACAAAACAAAGAGTATTTTGTCTGCACACTCTAAACAGCAAGTCATCTATGTTTTATAATTGAGCCGCATTGGCTGTAACTTCAATTTCTACAGTTTTTTGCACGAATTTCTGTACTTTTTAATACATGGGATGGAAACGACACCTTGTTTTCTAATATTTTTGGCAATAGTATGATTTATTTACATACATTTTGTATGGAAACAGCTTTTGATTCTCAGTGCTATTCAAAGAATCTGTCTATTGTATGCACATTACATTGGAAGGTGTCTAGTTCTGTCACATTGCTCACTCTTTGTGCAGACAGGACATAAGAGTTATAAAGACAAAGACAGCTAGACAGCAGATGAATGTTTGCTTTTTATCTTTATCAGTGCATTGCCTGGCAGAGAGATTGAATTGAACTTGTTGTCTGTAGATAGGGCACACATCTGCAATAGCAATGTTTCATCATTAAAAATCTCCAAGGCCACAAGAGGAATGCTGGCGGTGTGTCATCTGTTGGCCGGAGCCCCTTTAAAAGCCTCTTTTCTAAATTGATATAAATTCTTGCGGCAGCTAGAGAGTCCAAGCATACGGCACATGTAACCTTTATAATATGCGCTGCTACGTTTACTAGACCCCTTTATTAATCTTTGCCAATATTGTTGACTTAAGTCATTGTAAATGATTGATTCTTACACAAACCGCTTTGATTGTGTTTACAGAAATGTATTTGTGGATGATCCATTGTGAATCTGAGGCAAGATCAGGGCATTTTCTGCTACCTCTACTCTAGGCTCACAGATAATGACGTGTTCCTGTGTGGGGGGGTTTGATACATGTCACACACCAGAAGTGTTAGCTAAGACCACCTGTTGCAGCCCTTCACATGGTCCCTGTTGTCAAATTTAGGATTAGACGTCCAATCCAAATGCTGACTCAAGAATCTTTCAGTAGACACTATATGCTTAGCTGCATCTGGTTTGGAGTTTTGCTGATTCTTTCTATGTGTTATCCTGACTTTGCCCTTGCAGATTGTCTACAAGCTTCAGTATCTGATCGTACATAAACATAAGATCGCAGATAGTGTACACAGAAGGCTTAGGAGAAATCTTTCCATGGCAACACGGTGCGCAAATGCCACTTCAACTCTTGCTGCGTTGTAAACCCGAAAGCAGTGGAAGGTGGTCCAAGAAATTACATTTTTCTCATTGCTTATTTTAATATAAGACCTTGTCCTCCTCAGATCAGTGTATGGACATCCATGGCAACTAATCCCAGGTTAGTAAGTGAGAGCTGTTGAGACAATGAAGTCAGTACAAAAAACACTCTGCAACGCTATTCCCTCAAGTGTCACTTTAAATATGATTTATTCAGGCTGATCTGAGAGACTTTTCACAGTTTAATCAGAATGTCAAATTTACTTTTAAGTCTTTGCAACATTAAGCCATTTCACGCAAGACTGGGGCTCATTTGTGCAGGCCCTTGACGTCTATATTGGCTTTTTTGGAAACTCTATCTCAAGTCACTGATAATGACTTTAAAAAGGTTTCAAACTTTTTAAACACATTTCTTTTTTGGTTTAGGAACTGACAGGGTTTCAGTGTCTTGGGAAAACCTTTGAGAGTACCGCACTTCTAAATCTTGGAGTTAAATGAAATCAACTATCAATGAAAATGTTCTGCAGAGACACTGAAACCTTAAGCTTTCAATGGGGACTGAAGCTTTTCAGGAGCTACAAAAGTGGTCCACATGACTTACTGTAAATTAATTCCAACTTTTCAGCGAGTGATTTATTCATGGTTTAAGCTAGTCCAAATCTTAAACCAAAACCATTGACTCATTCAGAAGAATGTACAAGTTGCATTGACCTCTTTTATGGTTTTATGGCATTTGTGTACTCTTTTATGGCATTTGTTTATAAAGGAAAAAATGAAATCGCATCATATGACCCCTTTAAATGTAAGTTGTCAGTCACTGATAATCTTAACATCTGCCATTCTTGAGAAAAATAGTGATAGTTGATTTGTATATGAATCACTCTTTTGAATCAAATCTTTTCAGTGAGTGATTTATTCATGATTTAAGCTAGTCCAAATCTTAAACCAAAACTATTGACTCATTCAGAAGAATGTACAAGTTGCATTGACCTCTTTTATGGTTTTATGGCATTTGTATACTCTTTTATGGCATTTGTTTATGGCATTTGTGTCCTTTTTGAAGCTTCAATCACTGTCCATTGTAATTGCATGGAAAAACTAGTGACTAGTCTTTGTAATTTCTCCTTTTGTCTTCCACAGAAGAAATAAAGTCATATGGGTTAGGAATGGCATGAAGGTAAGTAAATTACTTCATGAATTGTTTGAAATGTAAGTTAATTAAAATTTTTGGGTCAACTACTCCTTTAAATATATTTCCTCTCTAGCTGATTGAACTGTATTTCAGTTGATAATGCTACCTCAAAACCCTTAAAAAGCTGCAACAACATTAGAGGCCTGCTTCAAAAGACTACAGATTTCCGTAGAGCCATATGATACGGTGTATTTTTAGCTGCTCTCAACCACAAAATTCCCCTGCAAAGCAGATGGTTGCTGTCTAAGAGACAGTTAACTTGACTAAGTGACTAAGTTAACTTAAAGTGCTTGGCTGTGTGCTGTTAGTAGCACAATTTACATTACATACACTAACATTTATTTGACTTACACCACCTTATTGTTAAATGCACTTAGAAATGTAACTGGAAAATGAAGTTGACAGTACCTTCCATCTCTCTCATGCACTAACAGGCTGAAAGCACAATCTCAAGAGTCAATTCCCCGGTCCGGAATAGTTTTCCAATCAAAAGCACCACAGTGTCTTTCTGTGCCTTTCCTGTTAGAGTCCCAATAAAACTTGCGCTTGGGCCAGGGCCCCCTACAAGGAAGGGAAAAAAATAAGTCACCTGTTGCTTAAAGTGGCATAGGAAAAAAAACTATACACTTCCAGCTGGGGACCAAGTACCAGCAGGAAGGGAAAAAACAAGGCTAGGCTGTCAAAAGAGCAAATCAAGCCCTAGGATGTCCTTATGTTTGTTACCAGCCCATGATGTGTGTGGGTCAGGAAACATGGGAGAGAGGGGAGGACGGGTTTCAAGGTAACCTTATCTGTGACTGGACTGTGTGGTTTATTCTTAGATTCCCTGGCAGCAATGGCATTATGTTTTGCCTTTTTAGGCCAGGGGTGTTACCCCTGAAGTGGAGCCTGTCATCGGGTGAGTGTGTGGAAGGCAACCACTCACATGAAAACGCATCTTTGAAATGTGCATTTTGATCCATTTTAGCACAATTTTCTGCTAATTTGCATAATGAGATATTGCATGTTACACGTTAAAATCATAACATACTGCATAAAGATTTCTTTAATGGAGATTTTTTTTAGCTAAGATTGAGAAGCAGTAGTAAATGAATGCAACAGAGCCTGTGGTAAACTCAGGTTAAGCTGTTTGTGGTGGCTTGTTAAATATTCATGCAAATCAAGCGAAACCTTTTTCATAAACTGTGCAAATGGAACATTTAGAAAGTTGACCTTTAAAGAGCAAATTGCATTTTATTCTTTCAGCTGTACCTTCCCCATATTTCAGGGAATAGGGAAAAGCCTGAGATGTCAGAACATAAGTGTGCTTTTAAGATTGAATGAAATTGCTTGACAAGCACAGGTTTCTTTCTTATGTTGAAAGAACCTATTGAAACAGGAAGTTGGGATGTCACTTACTTTTTAGAAATAGCCAATATGCTTTAGTTGTGCCTAGCCTTTTTTTATTTATTTTTTTTTCTTGCTTTGCTATTGCTAATATTTTTTGGACAAATCTTTGGATATAACCACAAGTGCTAGAAGAGTTATCTTTTTTTTTTTTTTTATCTGTTTTCGCCAAAAAATGTATATCTAGCTGCTAAAAGACGTTTTCTCAACTTCTAGGAGTATAGTAGCATATAGATGACATTAAAGGTAACACATAGACTGTAAGCTACAATACTTAAATTTTGAGTTCAAATTTAATAGCCCACAATAGCATAGTTTATGGACTAAAAACAAAACAAAAACAAATAATAGTCAAAGCATTACTACGTTACCACTAAAATTGGACCTTTTCTCTTTCTTCATTTTATTGGAAGACCCATATTCATGAAGACAAACTTGCTGTCAGAGCTTAGTATACAACAGAAGCTTTGCATTTCTCACCCACTCATCTGCATTGCTGTCGTAGTCAGTCAACCCTTTTGCAGGTCAAGATGAAACATGCAGTTCTGATGAAATCGGGTGCAATGAGGAGGAAAAATGACTGGCATTGTGGTGCGAATCACGGGTGTTTTTTCGTATGCACGTGTGTTTGTGTGTGCGTGCGGAGCCCACGCTGGGAGAAGGTTGACGCAGACACATTCTGTCCTGTTTAGTGCGCCGCTATGTCACCTCAGGGTTCAATCCTAGCTCATCGTCTCTGAACAGCTATCACATAAAAGACACTGCGATGACATCTGTGACCTCCTTATCTCACAATGGCAGGGTTTTATATCAGCCAGATTTACATCTAAATGCTGCCTCTCTAAATAGCTTCTCAAGACCCTGAAATGAGACAAGGGGTCTGAATAAACTATCTGTATCTCTATCTATGGTGCAAAGGCGAGGAAAAAAAGCATTGTGTTTGAGATGGCTCAATCAGCAGTGCTCTGAACGTCATGCTAAAAGTGGAAGCTGGATAATTGCATTAAATAAGTAAAACAACCAAGTGAAGATTAGGAAAAGATGTACAGAAATAAATCTAAGTTCAGTTGTTTTTAGGGAAGCGAATTGAGAATAATTTAACAGTTTTGGTTACCTCTTAACGATTCTAGTTTCTTCACGGTTTCATTAAGATTTAAGGAATTAATATTTTGGAAAGTTTGCGCTGTATGTTTTTGATTCACTAAAAAGAACAGCCTCATAGAAGAAATTTGTTTGGAAATGGGACTACACTGGTTGTGCTATGTTTTTGATCCACTAAAAACCAGCGACTCATAGGCGTCATTCATTTGAAAATCGGACTACGCTGGTTGTGCTGTATATTTTTGATCCACTGAAAACCAACAACACATTGGAGTTATTCGTTTGGAAATGGGACTACACTGGTTGTGCTATGTTTTTGATCCACTAAAAACCAGCGACTCATACCAGTCATTCATTTGAAAATTGGACTACGCTGGTTGCGCTGTATATTTTTGATCCACTGAAAACCAACAACACATTGGAGTTATTCATTTGGAAATGGGACTACACTGGTTGTGCTATGTTTTTGATCCACTAAAAACCAGCGACTCATAGGCGTCATTCATTTGAAAATCGGACTACGCTGGTTGCGCTGTATATTTTTGATCCACTGAAAACCAACAACACATTGGAGTTATTCGTTTGGAAATGGGACTACACTGGTTGTGCTATGTTTTTGATCCACTAAAAACCAGCGACTCATAGGCGTCATTCATTTGAAAATCGGACTACGCTGGTTGCGCTGTATATTTTTGATCCACTGAAAACCAACAACACATTGGAGTTATTCGTTTGGAAATGGGACTACACTGGTTGTGCTATGTTTTTGATCCACTAAAAACCAGCGACTCATAGGCGTCATTCATTTGAAAATCGGACTACGCTGGTTGCGCTGTATATTTTTGATCCACTGAAAACCAACAACACATTGGAGTTATTCGTTTGGAAATGGGACTACACTGGTTGTGCTATGTTTTTGATCCACTAAAAACCAGCGACTCATAGGCGTCATTCATTTGAAAATCGGACTACGCTGGTTGCGCTGTATATTTTTGATCCACTGAAAACCAACAACACATTGGAGTTATTCGTTTGGAAATGGGACTACACTGGTTGTGCTATGTTTTTGATCCACTAAAAACCAGCGACTCATAGGCGTCATTCATTTGAAAATCGGACTACGCTGGTTGCGCTGTATATTTTTGATCCACTGAAAACCAACAACACATTGGAGTTATTCGTTTGGAAATGGGACTACACTGGTTGTGCTATGTTTTTGATCCACTAAAAACCAGCGACTCATAGGCGTCATTCATTTGAAAATCGGACTACGCTGGTTGCGCTGTATATTTTTGATCCACTGAAAACCAACAACACATTGGAGTTATTCGTTTGGAAATGGGACTACACTGGTTGTGCTATGTTTTTGATCCACTAAAAACCAGCGACTCATAGGCGTCATTCATTTGAAAATCGGACTACGCTGGTTGCGCTGTATATTTTTGATCCACTGAAAACCAACAACACATTGGAGTTATTCGTTTGGAAATGGGACTACACTGGTTGTGCTATGTTTTTGATCCACTAAAAACCAGCGACTCATAGGCGTCATTCATTTGAAAATCGGACTACGCTGGTTGCGCTGTATATTTTTGATCCACTGAAAACCAACAACACATTGGAGTTATTCGTTTGGAAATGGGACTACACTGGTTGTGCTATGTTTTTGATCCACTAAAAACCAGCGACTCATAGGCGTCATTCATTTGAAAATCGGACTACGCTGGTTGCGCTGTATATTTTTGATCCACTGAAAACCAACAACACATTGGAGTTATTCGTTTGGAAATGGGACTACACTGGTTGTGCTATGTTTTTGATCCACTAAAAACCAGCGACTCATAGGCGTCATTCATTTGAAAATCGGACTACGCTGGTTGCGCTGTATATTTTTGATCCACTGAAAACCAACAACACATTGGAGTTATTCGTTTGGAAATGGGACTACACTGGTTGTGCTATGTTTTTGATCCACTAAAAACCAGCGACTCATAGGCGTCATTCATTTGAAAATCGGACTACGCTGGTTGCGCTGTATATTTTTGATCCACTGAAAACCAACAACACATTGGAGTTATTCGTTTGGAAATGGGACTACACTGGTTGTGCTATGTTTTTGATCCACTAAAAACCAGCGACTCATAGGCGTCATTCATTTGAAAATCGGACTACGCTGGTTGCGCTGTATATTTTTGATCCACTGAAAACCAACAACACATTGGAGTTATTCGTTTGGAAATGGGACTACACTGGTTGTGCTATGTTTTTGATCCACTAAAAACCAGCGACTCATAGGCGTCATTCATTTGAAAATCGGACTACGCTGGTTGCGCTGTATATTTTTGATCCACTGAAAACCAACAACACATTGGAGTTATTCGTTTGGAAATGGGACTACACTGGTTGTGCTATGTTTTTGATCCACTAAAAACCAGCGACTCATAGGCGTCATTCATTTGAAAATCGGACTACGCTGGTTGCGCTGTATATTTTTGATCCACTGAAAACCAACAACACATTGGAGTTATTCGTTTGGAAATGGGACTACACTGGTTGTGCTATGTTTTTGATCCACTAAAAACCAGCGACTCATAGGCGTCATTCATTTGAAAATCGGACTACGCTGGTTGCGCTGTATATTTTTGATCCACTGAAAACCAACAACACATTGGAGTTATTCGTTTGGAAATGGGACTACACTGGTTGTGCTATGTTTTTGATCCACTAAAAACCAGCGACTCATAGGCGTCATTCATTTGAAAATCGGACTACGCTGGTTGCGCTGTATATTTTTGATCCACTGAAAACCAACAACACATTGGAGTTATTCGTTTGGAAATGGGACTACACTGGTTGTGCTATGTTTTTGATCCACTAAAAACCAGCGACTCATAGGCGTCATTCATTTGAAAATCGGACTACGCTGGTTGCGCTGTATATTTTTGATCCACTGAAAACCAACAACACATTGGAGTTATTCGTTTGGAAATGGGACTACACTGGTTGTGCTATGTTTTTGATCCACTAAAAACCAGCGACTCATAGGCGTCATTCATTTGAAAATCGGACTACGCTGGTTGCGCTGTATATTTTTGATCCACTGAAAACCAACAACACATTGGAGTTATTCGTTTGGAAATGGGACTACACTGGTTGTGCTATGTTTTTGATCCACTAAAAACCAGCGACTCATAGGCGTCATTCATTTGAAAATCGGACTACGCTGGTTGCGCTGTATATTTTTGATCCACTGAAAACCAACAACACATTGGAGTTATTCGTTTGGAAATGGGACTACACTGGTTGTGCTATGTTTTTGATCCACTAAAAACCAGCGACTCATAGGCGTCATTCATTTGAAAATCGGACTACGCTGGTTGCGCTGTATATTTTTGATCCACTGAAAACCAA